ATGTCGACCAAAAAGTAGGTCACAGCGACCTACTTTCGACATTTTATGGCTATATTTAAGTATCTTAGGTATTTATTGGCTTAGAATAATTAACTTTGTCAGTTGATGCATTTTGGGTTTTCCAAGAATGTAGACCAAGACGTAGTCCTAATTGGCTAAGAATCTTCAAACTTTGTCAGGTGATGCAACTTTGGTCTTAGGATACTTAGGGTTAGAGGCTTCGAATACAAGTGATAGGATGTACAATTTATCAGAAGAGCGATTCAAGGCCCTTGGGCCTCTTGTAGATTTTTGGCCCCTCTCTGTCCCTTATGTGATAAGTCAGCACTTTTTTGCTGGTATCATATTCAAGATCTATTTGTTCTGCACAAATGTTGTTCAGTATGTTTTAACAAAATAATTATATTTTAAAAGTTATGATGCAAAATGTGTCTATAAATCACTCTTGATTCGTGTCCTAAATTTCGAGCCCTACCTAGCTTCCATACTAGGCATTTCCAGAAGATTTGAAAATATAGGTGCACAACTACAACATGTTGTCTATATTCGCTGAAAATTACAACACTCTATCTTTTGTCGTTTTTGAGTTTTCATGTCAACAATATGGTCACAAAAAATTCAATTAAAGGGTGATAACTTCCGACTGGAAGTGATTTTTTCAAAAATTAAAAAAAAACTTATCAAGTTCAGATCATGATATGTCATCCTTGAAAATTTCATAGAAATCCGTCCATGCATCTCTGAGAAATCGTCTGCACAAAATTTGGACAGAAAAAAATAATAACTAGGAGACTTAATGTTCACAGAACAATAAGAGGTCTTTCCACCTTTTTAAATTTCTTACAGTTTTATATTTTACTCTCTAAATTTAATTTTAAGGGAAAATGGCTTGAAAGATAGTGAAAATTTAAAAAATATATACATAAATAAATAAATAAATGACCTTGACCTTTGACCTTGATCAGATCTTCAAGGTCAAAGGTCAAGGGTTACATTGCAATTGATCTCATGTCTCTACTACTTATACTTTTAAAGTTATAAGGTTTAATAGTAAGCGCTTTTGCGTTAAAGGGCAATACTCATATGAGGGGTCATCAGATCCTTACGCAAAGATATAATGAAGTTATATCTTAAGACGATTAAGACATTAGTAAAGGTTTCGTGTATCTAAAGTTTTTTGGAGGAGTAGAGATAACAAGGTTTTTTGCAAGAGGGGCAATAACTTTTGAGAGGGTCAATCTTCGGGGACAAGAATGAAATATTTGAAATAGTTTTAAGAGTACATATTAAAGATGCAAAGACATAAAGTATATGTCGAAAGACAAAAAAGTTATTAAAAGAGCTTAATTTCTCATTTTTGGAATGACCTTGACCTTTGACCTTTGCATAAATTTCAAGATTTAAGGTCACTGAATCTTATGCAGTTGGTCCCATGTCTCTACGACTTCTTGTTTTGAAAATTTTGAATTATTTCTAAAATTCAAAAAATTTCAAGGGGAAATTACTCATTAAACGGGTCAACGAATACTTTCGCAATGAATCATTGGAGTGTCTACTAAATTAGTCGAAGACAATAGTTAAGGTTTCATTTCTCTACAGTTTATCGTTTTGGAGGAGTAGCGATAACAAGAATTTTTGTGAAAGGGGTAATAACTCCGAAAGGGATCAAAGTTCATATATGCAGGGTCAACTGCAATAATCTTTTACAGAGTACATTCTTATGGACTATAAATCTCTTCGATATATATTGAAACTCAAAATCACACAGCGGAAAAATAAGAAGAACTAGTAAACTAATTGTTCAGAATGAGAAAAAAAAAAAAAAAAAAAATTATAAGGTGCTCCAGCAGGATTCGATCTCTGGACCCTCTGATCTTCCCACCTTTTTAAGTGTTTCAATATCATTTGGGCTGAAAAAAGTAGAAAAAAAAGCAAGAAAATAAATAAAACAGCAAAATTCTCATTTCTCTACTAGGATTTTAGATCGGGCTCACAGTTGGTATAAATATACCCTAGACAGACTTCCTGGATTATACGAGTCGACTCGGGGATAACCACGATTTCATTGATCACGCAAAGAGAGCACATAAAAAACATTGTAACACGCTCCTATGTGTATATATGAGCTTGAATGAGATTGTTTTCAAGTTAAGATGTAAGGGGTAGGGTCTGATTAAAATTATGATATACCTATTAATATGAATAACATGCATTTGATCTGCGCATCAAGACGGAAGCGTAAGTGAAAACGTTGTGAAATGTCCCATGTGTACCTGCATCATATGTGCATTATACATGTATTAAAGAGATGTTTGAAAATATCCGATTTGAGTTGTTTTATGTTTGAAATGGATGGCGATAAATTATTTAAAAGCATGTGAGAAACAAAGCGAGAGATGCAAGGCAGTTTGTAATTATGGAAAAGGAAAACAGAGAATCGGGTTCGGGTTTAACATTCCTGACCGAAATAGGCATGAAATTCAATGTAAGTAGCATAAATAAAATTCAAAACATGAAATTCTAGATGGGAAACACAGGGAAGAAACGTGTATTTCTTTTTACTATGCCGAAAGTCGTTATTTCTTGGGATTGTGTTATTCTAGAGGAAAAAAAAAATCAAATTTCAGATGAAATCAAGATTCATTCCATTTATATTAAATCCACATAAAATTGAAATAAATTCCATACACTGAAGAAAGCAAGAATAATTGGTATTAAAATGTCGTAATAGAGCAGGAGAATCGAATGATATAAACAAAAATTGCAGAAATAGCCAATACGGGCGTTTTTTAAATTTATGCTCAGAAATAACTAAATTTCAGACAGAAAAAAAATGCAGATTTTGCCGATTATCACCAGAATTTCATTATATTTTAGATTCTCACCTTAAAACTCTCAGGACACTTTCTTTAAGGTATCTTCTTGCTTTTACTCCGAATCTTATGTCGATATATCGTGTCTTTTGACTTAAAGACATTTTCTCTATGCTGCTGTTGATTTTTCTTTTTTTTATGAAAAGGGGGGGGGTATAAGCATTTGTTAAAGTAAGAGTTGAAAATACCTCGACGACCTTAAGCTTTGTTGTGACCTTTGGGCCAATAGGGGGTCAAAGGTCAAGGTCATTTATCAAGGTCAAAGGTCAAGGTCATCAAAAAAAAAAGAGAGAGAGAAAGAGCGAGATAAACTTGAGATTAACACTTGAAGCTGAATCTAGATAAAGGTAATGAATATTTCTTTATAACTTTTTGAGTAAGGGGTCAAGGTCAAATATCAAGGTCAAAGGTCAAGGTCATTTGGATTTTAAGCTTAAATCTACATTTTCTCTAGTTTTTCAATGACCTTGAACTTTGACCTTGACCTATTCTTCAAGGTCAAAGGTCAAAAGATCTCATGCAGTTGGGCCCATGTCTTTACGACTTGTTGTTAAGAAGTTTTTAGTTCTTCGTAAACATCATAAAATGGCAGGGGCAATAAGTACTGGAAAAGGTTTACGAATTCTTTCGCACTAATAGAATGAGAAGTGTACTAAATTAGTCGCAGACATTGTTGAAGGTTTTGTACCTCTACGGTTTACGGTTTCGGAGGAGTAGCGATAACAAGGGCTTACACTGAAAGGGGCACTAACTTTCAGAGGGTTCAATTTTAGGGGACAAGCATGGAATCTGTGAAATGGTTTTAAGAATACATACTAAAGATGCATAGATGTTTAGAATTTGGTTAAGAACAAAAGAGCTATAAAAAATGCTTAATTTTACATATTTTGAATGACCTTGACCTTTGACCTTGACCTAGATTTTTAAGGTCAAAAGTCAAGGAATCTTTTGCAGTTGGTCCCATGTCTCTACGCCTTGTCGTTTTAGAAAAGTTCTTGATATTCGTAAACATTGCAAACATTCAAGGGCAATAATTCATTATAGGAGTTTACGAATCCTTTCGCAATGTTTGATTGGAGAGTCTACTAAATCAGTCGTAAACATTAATAAAGGTTTGGAATCTCTGCGGTTTACAGTTTCGGAGAAGAAGCGATAACAAACATTTCTTGCGAAAGGGGCAATAACTTCAAAAGGGGTCAAGGTTCATTTAGGCAGGGTGAACTGCAATAATCTTTTACGGAGTACATTTTTATGGACTATAAATCTTTTCGATAAATCTTCAAACAAAAAAACATGCGGCGGAAAAATAATAAAAAAAGGAATAATAAACAGAACAATTTCAATAGGTCTTTCCACAGAAAGGTGGAAAGACCTAAAAACATAAGCATTTCAATAGGTCTTTCCACAGAAAGGTGGAAAGACCTAATAAACATAAGCATTTCAAGAGGTCTTTCCACAGAAAGGTGGAAAGACCTAATAATAATAAAAAGAAACAATACAAACACTATAAGTCTTCCATTGTGAACGGAAGACTTAACTAGATACAAAACTTGTTGCGAGCAACGAGAGGTCTTCCGTCAGATTCCGGAGAGAAAGCGTAAAATTGAGCCGAAAAGTAAAAATGATTTGCACATGGAGGAGATTGAACACTAGTCGCCAGCATGAAATTCCAACATACTAAAAAATAGTACACTATTGGGACCTCTGCTCCAAATCTACTTATATATATTTCCGAAAAAGTGCTTCTGACTTAGAATTATGAAAGATGGCTAGTAACCAGGCAAGAGATTTTGAGATTTAACGTTTGTGACGTTAGAATAAAACTTAATCTTGAACCTTTTGACCCTGTGTCCATGTTGTGGTGTTTTGAATGCCATAAATTTCCACACACTTTATATGCAAAATACATGTGTAATGTAAATATCACAGAATTTCAGTCTGAATTTGGACAGAATATTGCATTTGCTACCAAAATAATGTGAAAAAAATACTAGGAACTTAAAAGTGAACTGTCTTATGTGTGAGTATATCTATGGTGCTCAAGATCATCAATATTTTTTTTTTTATTTATAAATATAGCTCTAAATATTTGTTAGGAAATTAACAATGAAGTGATTTCCTTTTCAGGTTTTGGTGGCTGAAAATTAATGCCCTGGGAGAAAGTGGGGATTGGATTGAACTTGAGAAATTTTCTAGAAGCAAGAAAGCACCTGTGGGCATGGAGGTATATATGTGTAATGTTTTCAGCAGTGGGGAGTACTGTAAATCACTTTTTATTCGCGAGAACTTTATTTTCGCGTAATTACGCGAGACAGTATGCTCGCGAAAATTAAATTCTCGCGTATAATAGTATTCCTTTAAGATTATATAGAGCAAGAACCACAATTCGCGAAAATTTTTCTCGCTAATCAGGAGTCAATGACTATCTCGCAAAAATAAGGTGTCGCGAAAATTAAGTGATCTACAGTATATACCCTTACAGAAATTTCTGATAAGCAACTTTTAAGTGATTTTAATATTCTTTTTACTTATAAGTTGTTTTTTCTGGACTTACACTTCACTGATACATTTAACTTATAAGTGAATAATAAGTTATTCATAAGATTTTATATGCAAATGAGGTGCTTGCTCTATGCCTGACTTATAAGCCAGTGTAAGCAAATGCGGGACATGGTGTAATTGGGGAGGGGAACAGATTAAAAACTAGCATAAACATACAGGAGGGGCAGAAATGGGGAATTTGGGATATGAGGGAGCAGTGTTAGTAGTGTCCTTTGTGCGTACTGAATTGTCTTGGACCAAGAAATTGAAGTGATCCCCCCTTTGGAGTAAAATTGGACATTAGATCGGGCTATGTGTTTGGCTGGGTCAAACGCTTTCCAAGATGGGTCAAGAGATTGGACTTGCGGAAAAAGGAGAAAATGGCCACCAGGCAGGCAGTCCAAAATACTAGATCTAAGGGCTTTTGGAAGTTCAGTTTTTGGAAAATCAATGCTAGAATTTGTGGTGTAATGGGGAGTTAAGGGGAAGTTTTAACTCCCAAGACCTGTTCTGTGCCTTTAAGGGTGTTTACGAGGAAGTGAGACTCTAATGGCTTTAGGATATCCGGCCTCGAGGTGAAGTAAGTGTACTATGGAGAGGTAGTTTCAGATCGACTTGAAAGACAAACGAAAGGATAGGGATGCTACAAATCTGGCCAAATTTAGGGGAGATATGGGAACTAAGGGAATGTTTAGTGAATTGCAAAATTACATATAGGCCTGCAGGTATGAACAATAAGTTTTCTTGGTGGAGGCTGCTAGAATGTTACTTCGAAACAAATGGATTCTGGCATCTAGTGAGGCTGGACTGGTTAGAGGTGTGTCTGCGAGAGAAAATGGAATGTGTGGTGAAATATATGCGATACCCAACCATGCGAGTGGACGGTACAAGAATGTAATTACAGCAATTTCGTTAAGAATTTGTTCTGTATCTTTATCAAAAAGGTCCAAATTAAGAGAGGAAGGGTGATTTTCCATTTCAGCTGGTATTGGGGATATGGTTGTGTCGATTATGTCCAAACTATTTTTAATTCTTTCAATAATAAAATTTTTATTGGGGTCTTGGGAAAGTTCTTCCCAGGCAGAGAGGATCAGACCCGAGGGTTTGCTTACACTTTTTAGCTGTACTGGTCAGAGACCAGAAGAGCTTATGTGATAGTAATGGGTCCGTCATCCCTTTGTCTGTCTGTAAACAATTTTTCAAAATGCTACTCCTGCTACGGTTTTGGTCTGATTTCAATATAACTTGACACACAAATAGACTATTTTAAGATACATAATTCTGTGCATCAGTTTTTGATTTCGATGAACAGTGTTGACATGGTTACTAAAAATAGAAATTTTTGTGAAATGCTTTCAAAATGCTATTCCTCCTTCAGTTTTGGTCTGATTGTGATATATCTTGACACACAAGTAGATTACACTAAGCAGGTAATACTGCAGGTCTGCTCATTATCTGAAGAGTCTGCTTAATGCTTACATTTAGTGTCCAGTAGTGGCAGACAAAAAGTTGCAGAAAAAAGAAACATACAATAGCATTTTCATTTTTGGGAGTTGAACTATCTTCAATCTCCCTTGGTCATCACGCATATAACATGCGCAGTAATTTATGTTGATTATATAGAGCCAAAAGTGAGGCTACTGTGTCGACCAATTTACTCCGATGATATTCAACAGAAAACATGCATAAGCATCTGCCAAAAATAGTTCATGTCATTTTCTCCTGAATTGATCTAATTTTTATAATTTGAAATGTAAGTAAATGTAATGATAAAGTAGTCTTATTTTGAATATTAGATTTCGTTCAAAGTAAAACTGAATTATAAAGAACTTCAAAAGTTTTTCGTAATGGAACTCATTTTTAGTGTAGCGTCATCTATAAACACTGAAAGAGATACGAACGACAACTCTACATACTGACAGCTAGTGGTAAATCTAGTCTTCCCTACGGTCGCGGATTTTGGATTTTTAGCAATTTCTTTTTTACTGGTGCACAGAATTTATTCAAACTTTTCATGAACATTTTCTTGGTTTAAAAGTTCTGACGTACTCCATGTACAATGTTGACTTCGTGTAATGGAAATACATTTATATTCAAAGAGAAGTTTTATATAACAAACCTGTTAGCTCTTAAAAGGATGCTGTGTGAAAATCCACATTTTTATCAACATTGATATTATTCCTGTGAAACTGAAATTTTCATAACACATGGGTAAAGGTGCCAAGGAAAAATATTACATATTTGAAGAAGAACTAGAGGTACAGCAGTGAATTATATAAATGATCAACTGTCTCAAATATGAATATAATGGCAGTGTCCATGTTTTGCAATGGGAAACCCAAAATATGTGTAGGATGAAAAAGTAATAGAAGTTGCACAACGGCAATATGTAATAAAGATTCTATGAAAATTGTAAGAGGAGTTGCGGATAAGAGATGGGTATACCTAAAGCGTAACAAACAGATGGACGGACATCCCGATTAATAAATACCCTCCCGCTTTTCAAGCAGGGGGTATAAAAAGAAAAAGGACTAATGTAGGCAGGCAAGCATTATGGCCCATGCGTTTTTTTGCTATTCAATGTCTCTGAATGTCTTTCTCAAGATTGTTGTAACACGTACAAAAAAATCTGAAATTGTTGTCTGTATAAGTATACAGTCTTGATAAGAGAAGTTCTTTTTTGACAAGAAACTTTGTAAGTTCTGTGCCGAAACAGCGGGAAATTGTTGTTACAATCTGGTTCACGTTGCGTAACACTATGCTCCTTTGGTGGGGTGTTTCTTTCGTTCGCATGATTTTCCATTGGCGATTCGTAGTCTCTTCTTGTGTATGAACTATGTAATTTTGGCACGATTGATGATTCATAATCTTGTGTATGTCTGTCAGTATTGCATTTTTCATAGTGTTCATTAATTTGAGGGTTTGTAGTTTCCCCTAATCACAGGATCTTGTTCTTGAACACACAAGTCTCTATATGAAGGTTGCCTGTATTTGTCTGACATGAATGTAAAGGTTTCATGTTTGTATTTATCAAAGGGATTTGGGGGTCTTTCACTTGTAGCTCGTTCATGGTTGGATAATTCAGATCGCATACTGCTTTGCTCCACCACGTAGTCTTTGGTTCTCTTGCGCTTTTCACTTGTCAATGTACGTACACTATGCTCGGAATGATTTGACTTGATGCTCATTTCCTCCATGAGAGTGTCCAACTCTGCTTCTGCCTCTTCAGCCTCTTGTTGTATTTTAATAAGATTTAAACTAGTTTCCAAATCTTTCTTTTTTCTTGCTGATCTTGAAGCTGCGATTGCCTCGTCTTCTTCTATTTGTGTCTTTTCTTTAATTAATTTTGCTGTAAGTTCTGCATACTTAGCCTTTGTTTTTGTTGCTTCGTATCTAGCCTTGACTTTGCTGAGATGTGAAGAGCTTGCCGACTCTTCTGTAACACTTGCGGGTTCTTGTTTGACTGAAAAATGATCTGTCTCTTTATCTGACTGTGTAGAATCTGCACTAGATAGTCCTTGTCCGTTTTTCTCTTTAACGTCACTTTGATCGAAATGTTCAAGTTCCTTTATGAACAGTTCTGCCTTGCTCATGACTGATCTGTTAACCATAGCATGCGCTAAAAGCTCGTACTCACTCTCTATCGTCCTTGTTTCTTGTAAGTAGGCCACAAACTTTTCAGACAAGTCCCCATATTTTCCAAGTGTTTGGGTCACCCTACATTTCACAAACTCTGCATTCTCTTTTTGGGGAAATTCACTAAATGCCAGAATTTGTTCATCTACACTTTTCCTGAGAACACGTAATTGTTCTGTATATTCACTCACTTTCTTTTCGTACTGTTCTTTTGCTTGCTCGGTGAGGGTCCGTGCAGATCTCAGGTCCATGATTCGATAAATGTGATGATTACAGATTTTTTACTATAATGTTTGCTTGCTTTTTATTATAAACTCTCGGAAAAGGTAAAAAACTACAATAAACAAAACAAAAACAAAACATTACTATGAGATACAAACACATATTCTACAGAAGTTGCTTTAAAGACAATGGACAATAATGGCGGGAAAATATTGTAGCTGTAGATTGTTTACATTACATGCCGATCATAAGAAATAGCCTAATATGTGAAATTTCTTACTTAACAGTTTAAAATAAGTAAATAAACATGTATCTTTATCATTATAATACATATGAAACTTACTCTGTAGTGGATCAAGCTTAACTATACGAAAAAATGCTTGCAGTGTGCTGCACTTGCAGCCATGTGTGTTTACATACTTTCAAATTAACTCATACATAAAATCATAGACGGCAATAGACAGTTCGTACATAAAATGGTTCCACTACAATATCCATTTTAGATTTCAATGAACAAAGTTGCTGTGGTTACTAAAAATAGAAATTTCTGTGAAATACTTTCAATATGCTGCTCCTCCTACAGGTTTGGTCTGATTTCATTATAACTTGGCATACAAGTAGACTACACTAAGATACACAATTCTGTGTATCGATTTTTGATTTCGATGAACGGTGTTGCCTTTTTTCTAAAGAAAGAAATTTCTCTGAAATGCTTTCAAAATGCTACACCTCTTACAGTTTTGGTATGATTTCAATATAACTTGGCACACGAGTAGACTACACTAAGATACACAATTCTGTGTATCGATTTTTGATTTCGAGGAATGATGTTGCCATGGTTACTAAAATTGAAAATACTCTAAAAGTTTATTAATAGCTACTCATACAGCTGTAGTCTTATTGCAATATCTTGCCACAAAAAGAGCTCAATCAAGCAACATTATTCTATTTATTACTGTTGTAAAGTTTTAAGTCCCAACTGCTACTTTTGTCTTCATTTGTTATAAGTACAAACCAGTAGAGCTTCAGTCTCGACAGAGACTTCTGGTTTACTTATATGTCCTTATAAATTCTACAATGATTGATCTTGCATTGAATTCAATATCACATTTGCCCCCAGGCAACAGACGTTTCCTTCCATCGCGAAAGAGTTCCGCTAAATTAAGTAATCGCAATATCAGTTAAGTATTGCTTGGAGTTTTTCAGGATTTGCTGTGATTTTATTATTTGAAAACCATTTAAAAAATTACTTTAATATTTTTTTTTTTCTTTTAGGCTTTTGTAGATGTTTGTTCAAAGTATGGAAATGTGAAGGAAGCTCTAAAGTATTTGGTGAAAGTATCTCCAGAACAGAAAGTTAAATGCTTAGTAAAAGTGGGGTAAGTTAAAAGTTACTAAGTATACACAAATGTGTACTGGACAATTTTTACCAAACTCTACGCAGAGTATCCTTGAGTAAAAGGAATTCAACTATAAAGAGACCTTTCCAAATATACTATGAATTTTTACCCTTTGGCCTTGACCTTGACCTTTGATATACTTTTTAGATCACCTAAGCTGAAAGCTTAAGTGAGCTTTTCTGATGACCTTTTGTCCATTTGTCTGTCCATCCCTCCGTCTGTAAACTTTTCACATTTTCAACTTCTTCTCAAGAACCACTGAACCAATTTTGACCAAACTTGATACAAAGCATCATTTGGTAAATGGGGAATTATAAATTATGAAAATGAATGGCCTAGACCCCTTCCAAGGGGAGATAATCGAGAAAAGATACGAAATTAGGGTGGGGTCATTAAAAAATCTTCTTCTCAAGAACCACTTGGCCAGAAAAGCTGAAACATGTGGAAGCATCCTGGGGTGAGTGTAGATTCTTAGTTGTAAAAAGCATGACCCCTGGGGGTAGGGCGGGACCACACTAGGAAATCCAAGTTTTGCATTAAAATATTTAGGAAAAAATTTTTTAAAATTTTCTTCTCAAGAACCACTGAGACAGAAAAGCTTAAACTTATGTGGAAGCATCATGAGGTTGTGTAAATTTAAATTTTAAAAATCATGACCCCCGGGGTAGGGCCATGATAGGGAATCCATGTTTTACATTGAAATATATAGGAAAAATCTTTAAAAATCTTCTTCTCAAGAACCACTGGGCCAGAAAAGCTGAAACTCATGTGGACGCACCCTGGGGTAGTCTAGATTCTAAATTGTTCAAATCATGACCCCTGAGGGTAGGGCGGTGTCACAATAGATATTAAAAGGGAGAAATCTGATAAAGTACAGCATAGCCAAAGTTAATCAGGTGACAGATTTGGCCCATGGGCCTTTTGTTAAAAATTCTAACATTACTTTAAATTGGTCACAATATTTGAAAAAAAACTAGGGCTTTCATATTACATATGTAAACCCACTTGTGGCAAGACCTTTCTTAATATGCCATGCTAATAAAACGAGAAAAAACATTTACACAGAAAAATGACATTTATTGAACAAGGTTAGGAAAGAGTTGTCTCCTCTAATATCTGCATTAACACTTTCTGAACAAATATCATTTTCGTCAACTTTGATTATATTGATACCTTGCTGCTTCTTTTTTCCCTTCAAACACCTTTCTTAAACGCTTATATTTGGACTAGTAAATTTCCCGGACTTCGTTCTGTGCATATGGTACATGTTTACAATAACTACGATTTCCAGTTTTATAAAATTAGAACCAAACACTGCAAATTCTGTATAAAATGTAATACAACTCTCTTATGCAGAAGATAAGAATATATGTTTGTGGTATGTATCCTTAAATGTCAAAAATATGTTGTATATTGGTACTTCTAACTTTTTATTTACTGCTATTTATTTTTGTCGGTCGTGGTCATAAACTTTTGAACATTTCTAGCTTCTTCTGTGGAACCACTGAACCAATTTCAACCAAATTTGCTATACAGTATACAGGTGACTCTCAATGGCTCAAACTCTGATCTCACGAAGTGAACCGCTGGTCCCTTTTTTTCCTCTATATAACCAAGCAAATTTACTCCTGATCTCTCGAACTTCTATCTAAGTTCCTTCCTGCATGGAACCAAAACCTGGGTCCCGTTACACATATTTCATTGAATTTTACTCTCTATCTTTCAAGTTTTGATTGCGCGTGTATACACACTGATCAAGTGTAAAATTAGCCTGGCCTTACCTGGAAAAACAGTGAATGCCTGGGGCTGGCATGCAGGTGTTAAATTGGTGTTTACATCGATGACACTACACCTGTGGGTCGCCCGGTTTTTCCTATTCCCACTTTTTGAAATCAGGTAGAAAAAGGTAAGATTTTATGTGGGAATAGGTGGAATATTTGTGTACACAAATATAATTAACTATGAAAACATATTATAATTGTACAATTAAACAATGATTAATGAACACATATTGGAATAGAGGACAGGTAAATTTGCTTTATTAAATTATAAATCAGACTTTTTACTAATATTTGAAAGAAAAAATGGATTTTTAATAGAATTAAATTATATTTTTCTCCGTTTATATATTCATTCTAAAATCCAACTATTTGAATGTTTTTTTTCAATAAATCTATTTTATGTTCTTAAATCAAGATATTAAGTTGCTTTTTCTTGTAAGACCTTTTTATTATTTCAAAAGTGTGATATAAGTCATATTTTCTCATAGATGTATTCATTATTCTCTGTCTTAAAATGTACAAAATACAGGTAAATCTAAAGAGCAGATGTAATTAGTCTAATTATTGAAAAACAAATTAACTATCTAAACATTTATTGTTATTTGCAAGTGGGAATAGGTGGAATTAGATTTTTAAAAAGTGGGAATAGGTAAAGACCCCAAAATCCCGTGTGTTGATATACGGGTAATTAATTTATTATTGGTAAATTATAAACAAAGCCACAACTTATTATGTTCCCCAACGAAGTGGGAATTTGTTTTTACTATGTTTCTTATTAGGGTTTCCGCCTCCAGCGGAAACCCTTCTATTATTCTATTGTTTCTTTTTCACTTTTATTATTATTAGGTCTTCAGGGGAAGACCCTTCTATTATTCTATTGTTTCTTTTTCACTTTTATTATTATTTTTTTTCCCTTTTTTTTTTTTACAATTTTTGTGCAGAAGATTTCTCAGAGATGCATGGACGGATTTCTTTGACATTTTCAGAGATGATGTATCATGATTAAAACCTGATCCATTTTTTTTTATTTTTGAAAAATCACTTCCGGTCAGAAGTTATCGCCCTTTAATCGAATTTTTAGTGACCATTTTGTCGACAGAAAAACTCCAAAACGACAAAAGCTAGAGTGCTGAAATTTTCAGTGAATATAGACAACATGTTGTGGTTGTGCACCTATATTTTCAAATCTTCCGAAAGTGCCTAGTATGGAAGCTCGGTAGGGGTCAAAATTTAGGACACGAATCATGAGTGATTTTTTGAGACGTTTTGCATCATATCTTTTAAAGTATAATTATATTGTTAAAAAATACTGAACAAAATTTGTGGAATGACAAGATCTTTAATATGATATCAAGAAAAAAGTGCTGACTCATCACATTGGGGCCAAAAGGGGCTAAAAGTCTTTTTCAAAAACTCTTTAACAGTTAATATTTTGTTATACATTGTACATTAGGCGAGCATTTTTTTATTTTTAGGTTTAAAAACCCCCCTAAGTTTTTGAATTTTCAAAAAAAAAAAAATTGAGAAAAACAGAATTTTTTCTTTCCGATGTCAAATTTAGTATGGGATTTCAAATTTACGAACTCGTACTTCCGGTTTTAAATGCATGATGGCGGGTAATGAATGTAGTCCATAGCAGCACTAAAGGTTGGTTTAATGAAAAATTTTTACGATAGGAGTCCTTCAAAACTTCCCCCTTCTGAGAACAAATAAAATGCTGACGACTTTGTTGCACGATGACATTTTGGCGAATAAAACGTATCCATATTCAAAAGTTCTGTCATCTGTCTGTAAATTATTTTCCTCCCACAGGTTTAAACTGCCCATGGTAGCTATTATCAGAGACATTGTTTAGGTCTCGTTATAGCTTACAGTTTTATATTTTTCAGAAAAGGGTAGTTTATGCAGCAGATTAATAATAAAACTATCAGAGAAGTTAAGTTCATTTGAGGAAGAAATAAACAATAGCCTAGAGAAATAAAAATTTAAAGTAATTAAAAAATAAACAAGTATAATCAAATATATACAGGCATGTAGTATCGTTTGTGTCAGCCAGAAAAGTTATTTTAAATTGATTAAAAAAAAATTTATCCTACTCCCCAGATGCCGTTGTTTTATGAAAGGAATTATTATTTTAGGTCTCAAGTTAAGTATATTTTAGAACAATTTCAACACTTTCACCTAACACATATTAAAAACAAAAATGAAGATATATATTGAAAGAGTTTTAGAAAAAATTTTTAAAAAAAAACTTTCTTTTTTTTTTCCAGCATTACAAGACTTATATCACTGGCCCCAACTGGTAGATATGAAATAAACAAAAGGTTTTTTTTTTTCCCCCTTTTTAACTCTTATGTGTTCAGTTGCAAGGAGCCTGTTAGGAAAGCATAAAAAAAAAGCAAAAATTAATGTAAAAAACTAATTATCCCAAAAATAATTTTATTTTTATTTTTATTTTCCTCCTACGGGACTTTTTCGTTCTGATGTTCGTAAACCTAAAAATAAAAAAATGCTGGCCTTACTGAAACAAAAATGTTTTTCTCAACAATCTACAACTGTATATTATGATTTTAATGTTGTATACTACATAATTAAAGGGGGGACAAGGGGGGAAAAAGCCCATCTTTGACGCTTTATATCTCAAAGTGGGAAAAATTTTGATAAGTAATATTGAACAAAAGATGTTCAAAATAACGTTCTGAACAATATACAACCATTCATTTTTCGTAAACATCCCATTAAGGAATTGAAGGGCTGGCCCCCAAATATTTCTTTTGCAAATAAATCGAAAAAGAAAAAATCTCTAATAGTTGTTGAACAAAAAATGTTCAAAATCATAGAGATTTAAGGTAAATCTAGAAAAAGGGGCTGGACATAAATAAGGGGCCAAAAGGGGCCAAAAAATCTTTAATCGATACCTCTTTTGCAAGCAATATTTTGATATACATTACTGAAGCCAAAAAAAAATGTTTATCTCAACAATCTACAACTATATATTATGATTTTCATGTCGTATGGTACATAATTAGGGGCCCCCAAAGGGGGCCCAAAAAGCTACATCTTTGACGCTTTATATCTAAAAATGGGGAAAAATTTTGATAATAATATTGAACAAAAATGTTCAAAATAATGTTCTAACAATATGCAACCTTTTATTT